GCGAATAAGGCTAAGAGCCCGGTGGGTATGCACAGTCACCATCCTGCTGCAAGCTGCTGACTTTGTTTTTTAACTTGTCCTGACATGAACCACAGTGCTGCAAACCACCACATCGAGCTCCGCGCCACATGTTGTCGAGTCAGTGCATGGTTGACAATAGCCTAGAGGGTGGATGATTGAGTTGTACTTTGACCAACATTGTGGTGTGGGCTTTTGGAAGTTGTACCGAAAGTTGCAATAGCTGGGAAAGGGTTCTGTCTTGCTCCTGCTGAATTTTGGTGCACTGCGATTCGGTTTTCGTTGTCTCATCTGTTCTCTCCTTCTCGAGTTCCTTGGTTGTCGAGGCTCTGTCCGGATTGTCTTGGTTGCTGTGGCGCTGCAAAAGGTTCGTTGTTAGCACGCCTGAGACGAGAATTTGCCTTACTCATACATGTTTTCACAGAACTCAACATGGGCCGCATTCTGATGGTTGCTGGGTCTGTGCTTGGCTGTCGCAGCGTGATCTCCTGGTTTCTTCTGATGCCACTCCTCCCTCCTGGGACGCACAGGGGCGGAACAAACGCTTGACGAAGACGATGACCAGAGGGACGATGTTGAGACTTGTGAAACCAACGGCGCAAACCACCGAGAATGCGTTGAGTGGAGAGGGGGGGTGCTTCCTTGTAGTAAGTTCCGGATGATCGAAGATGGAGGGGGTATTTCCGATTGCAACCATAATCGCGGATACTTGCTCCCTTGGATCGATTCGCACGACGCTTCCAACGGCGGTAGGCTTGGGCATGGCGATGGCGCATCCAGCGGGACTGAGGTTCAGGGGGAGGTGCATCAATTGGATCAGTGCTGGGCTGATCAGGAGAGTAGAGCCAAGAGAAGCACAGCAGAGTAATGAAACATCCCACAAGTAGCCAAGTGTGAAGAATGGTGAAGTCCAAACCAGGTTCGGGAACAGGGTGGTTGATATTGATGCTGCATTTGAAGGTATCCATGTTGGTTTCCATGAAGAGACCATGGAAGTCCTCCGGATCAGGCAAGGCACCAACGTGAAGATCACAGAACATGGTCCATCCCTTGGTCAACATAGTCTGCCCTTGATGGGCAAGTTGCTGCACAAAAGACTGACTTGCATAGAGAGCTTCAGGAATGCTGATGGGGCGCTGCAACGCAATGGAGAACAAAGCACGAGACAATGCAAATCCAAGGAGTAGAGGCGCCAAAAAACTATCCACAAGATCAATAATCCTTCCCCAGAATGTATGGGGAGCAAACCAGAGTGGGACTGGGGCAAGGGAGAATTGAGACAGATGGAAGCAGATGGAGAAACTGACCTGATCCAGATGGCAAACTGCAACTTGCAGCAGCTGCCACAGTGCAACTTCAACTTCAAGTATGTCAGAGCTGAGACACGTCTGAGGAAGCATGTGGGCAGTTCACTGTTTGAAGAATGTTGAAGGGCAATGCAAGGCAGTTGTGATCCTGAAGATGGTTGAAGGGCAATGCGAGGCAGTTGTGGTCCTGGAGAATGTTGAAGGGCAATGTGTGGGCAGTTGACCAACAGCAAGGCAAACAGGTAGCCTTGGAGAGTCATCAGTCTGGGGCAATGTGCAAGTGAATAAGCAAACTTTTGAAAATGCATATAAGGCGTCCTCTAATATCGACGGCAATCAAGCATGAAGGCACGAGCGTTTGATTTGCCATTTGATAAAATATTAGATGAACTACACTTCAAACTCAATCGGATCCATGACATCCTGGTGACTGTCAACCAGCCAGGCTGTGCTACCGGTACCCTGATGAACATGTTTCGAATCCTTCATTCCCAAATCACTGCTCAAGAAAACTCTCCATGGACCAGACTCTTCTCCAGAAACCACAGATCCAGCAGGAGCATAGCATCCTGGGTGCACAACTCCAGAGACAAATGTGACACCAAGGGTAAGCCCATTATGATCAACGTAATGGCCAGAAAGGTGAGCATCATCAACAATGACACTTCCCCGGAAATGCAAGCAGCCATAGTCATATAGGGAGTTACCAAAGTACCAAAGCTCCCCATGTACTTCAGCCCCCATGAAGCGAGCATAGCTAGTAAACATCGGAGTACCATAAATGAGCAGTTCTGACAAGTTTCCAACCCGGAAATGCCATGCATAGTTAACATATACTCCATAGAAGCTTTCTCGAGCTTGTTGTGGAAGTAAAAAAAGGACCCATTCAGTCATCCTGGAGCAAAGTACCCAAACTAACAACTGGAGTATGATAGCGGTGAGCAATCCAATTGCAGCAACTCCAACTGAAGAAGTTTTCACCACAGCAAGACCAACCTCATAGGCTGGTATGATAGATGCAATGATTATCACATTCATCAACTGATAGAACACCTCTTCCATTAGTATGGCCGGCTTAGCTTGTTGGCTTGCTGGGTTCAAATCATATATGCTCTCAGACACATTAGACCTAGGTGGGATTGTAG